AAAAAAAACTCAGTGTCTCTTGATAGGAAGAGGCGTTCGTTGTGGAATTATTCGTCTCATGGACAAAAACCATAAGCTTTCGTACTCTTGTGGGAATCGGCACATAACGTTGGTTACAATGTTTGTCTGCGGTCACATCTTTAAAGAGGCGCCACAACTTCCCTTTATACGACACTTCTTCCAGGGCTGATGAAAACGCGTTGGTAACCCACTGCCACAATCTTGATTGACTTGGACATACGCTCTAGCAATTGTTACTGGAAAAGATGTGAATGCTATGCCCGCTAAATGCTGAGATACAGAGGTACATATTGAAAGATCCCAGTTGTAAAAAACTACTTGATTTGTACTCGTTCACCTGCGTGTGTGCTCAGTCAGTCCGCACAACTCATTGTGAGTTCCATCAATGTTACCCCTAGCTATATCCTCCTTGTTCGCAATGTCGCACAAACATGACCCAAGGAAATTCTGTTCCACCTGAAACGTGTATCGAAAGTTGACCTCTCACAAACATTACCTTAGTGGATGTACTGTTTTGTAAGCTTCCATTTGTATTTTGCCTAGATTAGATAATCGTTCAGCTGTAACACCCTTTCGGTGCCCAACTGCCATGCTACCCGAAGGAAGCACGAGGGCTGGGATACCGCCTGGTTGCCCAAGCCTAGACGGGAGATGTCGAGAGGTAGAGGTCGGATTCGAACCACGGACCTTCCGGTTAGTAAATCCGCGCACTAACCGCTGAGCCATCTCGTCTAGATTGGTGTGACATCGCTGTGATCCTATGGTACAGGAAGTCATTATCAGCTAGTTCTCAAGTAGAGACCATGTTCGCCAACTGATCATTCTGATTACAATCCCTAGTGTCTATGGCCCTATATCTCTTTATCTCTAGGTGTTCTGCATGTATTTTTTGAAACTTCCGATTGAGGTTGTGCTCCCCATGCCCTATAGCGTGGTTCGGAACGCTACAGAAATTCTATTTAGCTGCAACCTCAACCTGTTTGCTTGAATGCTTTTAGCATTTGGGTCACGCGCAGCTGCCGCAACGGTTTATCGATTTCTCCTGCTCACAACAACTTAGGCATGCCAAGGTGCTGTTTCGGTCTGCATTGTGTGTACTCATTCATGTTTCTGCAGGTTCCGGTGATTTTAGTAAACGTCACCAGAGGGCATCATCGTTAGCATTCAAGGAGATCTTGTCTTCAATATTAATCGTGTCTGTTTTCATTAATTTTTTGTATCATGTCGCTCCAGAACGATACTCACGTGACTGCTGCATGATTGTCCTGGCACATTGTTTTTGGTTTGGTCACCATCATTCACTAACGCGCGATCACTGTCGTTCTGGTGTTACAGCTGAACGATTATCTAATCTAGGCAAAATACAAATGGAAGCTTACAAAACAGTACATCCACTAAGGTAATGTTTGTGAGAGGTCAACTTTCGATACACGTTTCAGGTGGAACAGAATTTCCTTGGGTCATGTTTGTGCGACATTGCGAACAAGGAGGATATAGCTAGGGGTAACATTGATGGAACTCACAATGAGTTGTGCGGACTGACTGAGCACACACGCAGGTGAACGAGTACAAATCAAGTAGTTTTTTACAACTGGGATCTTTCAATATGTACCTCTGTATCTCAGCATTTAGCGGGCATAGCATTCACATCTTTTCCAGTAACAATTGCTAGAGCGTATGTCCAAGTCAATCAAGATTGTGGCAGTGGGTTACCAACGCGTTTTCATCAGCCCTGGAAGAAGTGTCGTATAAAGGGAAGTTGTGGCGCCTCTTTAAAGATGTGACCGCAGACAAACATTGTAACCAACGTTATGTACCGATTCCCACGAAGAGTACGAAAGCTTATGGTTTTTGTCCATGAGACGAATAATTCCACAACGAACGCCTCTTCCTATCAAGAGACACTGAGTTTTTTTCACAGAACGTTCCCACCACCTGAACAGAATGACGATTGTACGGTGGAGTTGGGTTGTGTTGATTTCAGCCCTGACTTTTTTTTTCACAGAACGTTCCCACCACATGAACAGAATGACGATTGTAAGGTCGAGTTGGGTTGTGTTGATTTCAGCCCTGAATCGAAGATAGAATGAGTCTTCAATATGGACGATGGGTTCCGGTGTTGTATCTTTCGTTCCCTAGTAAGGAACGATCCACAAACAAAGTAGTGACACCTTTCTACTCCCAAATATTATCAAGTCGCTCACATTTTGGTGTTATTTGGCAGATGTGGCACCACTGAACAAGAATGTACCAGCAAGACAGTCACGTGATCGCTATTAGTTCATTAAGACAGCCTACGCTGTTGATTGACTGAATGTCAAGTAGACACACACAAGCATCCAAATGAATACAACCGTTTGGATCGGATACCAAATATAATTGCCATATGAATGTATGTGTGAATATATATAAACAGAACGGTCTCTGAAGAAACGTTGTGCCGGACAAAAAACAGTTCGACTTTGTGAAATATGAAAACAGTATATAAAATAATCGGAGTGGTGTTTACATCACTGTGTGAGTAAGAAAGCAACGAGTGAAACCTTGAGCCATACCTAACAGCGTCTAACCACAACCACCTTGTCTTTCTGACTACGGATTGGGAACTGAAAGCCTTCTACCGTTGGCAGTTTGCAACGAATTCTTTCTTACACCTCTGTCAAGTAAATTTGTCTTCTGCACGGTTTATTCCGCTTAGCTCTCTCAAAGCAAACAAAGCAGTCACCAGCAGTGACCAAGCCAAAGCGTTTGCTGTTCAGTAACAACTTCTGACAAGTCCACCCTTTTGTTGTCGTCGGTTGTCGTACTTCAGAGCTGCTCACATGTGGCTGGTGCCAAACGCAAGAGATGCTCCACATACAGCGATGGCAGAACGCTATCGGATGTCATCGACTCGAAAATGTCTCCCAATCTGGCACCCATCCAGTCTAACTAACAAGCAATACACCAACCTTTCTATCGCTAGACTAAAGCTGCGTCTTCTGCAGACGCCACAAGCCGATAAAAGCTACCCAGGTCTTTGCTATCCGAGCCGCTGTCCGAAAACCCATGACTCTGTTTGCTTATGCGCAACTCCTCAAGTCGTGGAAGGATGAATCAACTCAAAGTATATGGACAAACTTCGAACGTACTTCTACTTGTCCAATTGGATTTGGAATAGTTAGTCTGTCTACGGAGTCGGAGGCCCGTTTGAAGTCAAATAAATCAGCTATTGTTGATCGGCGGAATAAGTGGCTCTGCTCAATTAGTTGATGTAATATTGTCACGTGATCAATCTTATACGGTGATCTAGGGTTGGCATTTCACATGTCGGAGTTGGGCACCACAGTGGTACCGAACCTAGTGGCTGCGTTATGAGAGATGTGGAACATATACGGTTGTGACTGGAATAGTCGATCCGAGTGCCTTGTCCGAACAAACATTTGATAATTGAATAGCATCATTTTCCTTCTTTCCAAACAATTTCAAGCAGAGGAGAGCAGAGAAACTAACCACCATCTTTGAATGACGCCGGTGAAGGGGGGGGGCTCATCTTGTCCAGCAGCCCAGCAGTGCTTCAAGGTAGAAACCAGTGGTTTCCTCTACACGATTGACGATGCATTTAAAACGAACCGGAAGAGTCGTACAAATTAACCCAATTAGGAATCTTATTTTTCGCGTATTTACTGTATTACGCTCGACCCACTACTATATGACAAAAGTTATCCCTGACTTGTCGCAAAAAAGGGAAACTTTGCATTTCATCTAATTTGTGGCCCGATTACGTCTGGCTCGAACGATGTACAAGGCACGATTCGACATGCTGAGATAGTTCATTGGTTAGGACACAAGCGTACTGACCGGAAGGTGTGGTTTGAACCCAACTCTTGCATCTTGACTACTCCCGTCTGGGCTTGAGCAACTTGGCAGTATTTCAGCCCTCATACTTCCTTCAAGTAGCACCGCAGCTAGGCGCCGAAAGGCGCCTTTTTGATTTGATTAATTTGATTAATTTTCGAACATGGGTACCAACTTGACTACAACTAGACCTTTTGTTAACTGTCAACCCGAACACATTCAATACCGACTGTCGCTGCGCATGATGTATACGTCCCATCTGAAACCACAATGTGACGGTATACACACTGGCGTCTGGAGGACGTAAAAAGTGATTATATAAACAGACATGCTTCAGTGGGCTGAAAGCGGACATTCATAAGACTGCGCTGACCTTTTGGTTCGGGAGAGGTCGGTGATTCCACCCCATTCTGCACACGCAGCAAACGAATTTTCCCGCTGAAGCTCACACTTTTCTTCGGACGACGACCGTGAGGCGTGAATAGATCGTAACTTTTGTTCGAACTATTATTGTCATCCCAACCGTAGCAGTTCTGACCACTTGAAGTCAGCAGTGCACTCGGATTCTCATAGGACTGGTCATCTCCCGTAGACCGGAAGGTGAGTCGACTTGTGGAGTTCAATTCCGGTTCGGAAGTAGAACGGTCCACCTGAGTGTGAGGGAATAGCCGAACAAGAAAATAAAACATGCGATGAGACGTGCGGTCAGATGGCTTGCTATCAAACAGTTGCGAGTGCAAGGTAAGATGAGTTACTACGACGACTAATACATGACACTGTGGGGACACTGAATGGTCTCTATCCTCATGGGCTGGTGAACGAAGTGAGAAACAATCATGAATCTTGGCGAATATACACTCATTTGCAAACTGATTTGGTTTTTCGAGAGATTCATCTGAAACCCATCTGAATCTCTCGTTTGTGATGTTCTCAGGCAAGTAGAATGTTGACGGAAACCCGGGGACTGCGCCTACTTGATGAGCCCCAAAAAGGGCGAAACCGGTCGTGGGCTGTCGACGGATTTTCAGCAACCTTATGAGTAGTACATTACAAAGATGAACATGAATCTTGGTCCGGAAGCGGACCAATACAATTCGTTACCGGTGATGACTGAAACTTAGCCAGAAATAGAAGCTGTAATATATGACGAAAGAAAAGGGGTGGCGATACGCAGTGAGTGGTGTTGTTCTGCTCCGCTTCACATTAAAAAGAATATTTCCTTTCTTCATTTACATCTAAACAAGACAGTCGGAGGCATACATATATACATACATATGAAAAAAATGACTCTGTCTGTCACCATTGTGTGTAGATAGAATTCTAGAAAAGAATCCACTGCGCACCAGTGTGAACGTGAGTGAAAACAAAACAGCGTGATAAAGTAGAAAATGAAAAAATCAACTCAATTTGGGTGTTTTACTTCATAGAAACAACAATCGAACGCCGGATTTATATTTTCATTGAATTTTGAACCTAAACAGAGCACAGCACATTTTTCAGCAGACGATGATTAGACATGGGCCGCATATGGTTAAGCCACCGTAGTTTATGGCGATGGAAAACCCCTCAGTTGGGTGGTTGCTGAACAGCCGAACTCCAAGCTTATCATTTCGATTGGCTGGCCACCCTCCACGACCTTAAAATGACTCACTTCCAATACGGCATGGAGAGTCGGGGCCCGCAGAGCAGACAGAGGGCGGGTTTTCGGAACAAGCGAGTGAATGCAAGGCCACTATTGATTATGTGACCTTGTCGTGTTAGTGACGATGTCTAGCTATTGACGGAATTGATAGTTCGTATCCCTGCCTCGTACAAGGCACGGACAAAAAATGGTTAGGACCAGCTATAAACCCCTCCATGCTGCATTCAGTTCCCTCAGTAATAATAAATAATAATGATAATAATGATCGTTCAACTATGGGAACTTTTCGGTGGCTAGCTGCCATACCAACCGAAGGAAGTAAAAGGTCCGAGATCCTGTCAAGTTGCCCAAACCAAGGCAGAGTCAGTCGAAACACCGGGGTCGCATTCCAACCACAGACCCCACGGTAAGTTTGAGCCTTAACAACTGAGCTGTCTCGAGCTCACTTCCCTCATTCAGATGTGTCCGGAAGCTAGCCACTCAGAACAAATGAACATCAATTCGATTGGAAGGGGATACCGATGGGAAACCAAAGTCAAGTGTACTAGAGTCAAACCGCTGTGCAGTCAAGATAGCTGTAAGGTTGGTCTTACTTTGTGGTTGCAATACCTCGTCTCTCCGAAATGAAAGCTTCAAACGCTTTGAAACAGTTGGTCGCCGGTGCTTCCGTAGGGTAGCAAAGGATGGCCGGCTACATTACGTTCGCAGCGAATCGGTGCGCAAGAGAGCAATTAGTGACGAATCAGAGTCCACGAAGGAACAAATTAAACTTACCAGGCAGCCTTGGAGATACGCATGACACACCTAATTATCGTTTAAGGATAACGAACCATGACACAGCGACGCAAAACGGGAGCAGAAAACACCAAACCGATAACACTTTTAGCCAGAGCTTTACGCGCTGCACGGATGTTGGGTAAGGTTCACAAAGCAAGCTGCTACCATCTGCTAATCGTGTACTGTTCCGGTATGATCCCCAGATGGGCTAAGCTCATTACTATTCAGCACCCTGTTATTGACAGCCCTACCCAAAAACAGAGATTTTTCACTTGGTTACCACCTTCCCATTTGTTCCACATCTTACCACGCTAATCCATTTTCGGGGGCTGGCTTGTCACTGGCATATTGTTGCTGATAGCAGGATGCTATAGCGGAATTACAATGCAATGACGCAACGAACGGAGGATGCTTCACTTATGCGTGAGAGAAAATTCGACAGAACTAGCTGGCATGGTGAAAGGAATAGTGTCTGACTTCGGGAAATAGAAATCAAATATTCGTTTTTAACGGGAAACTCAGGTGAATACAGCTGAATCCCCCCCCCCCATTTCTTCTAGTGATGTACTGCACCTAACGTCTCAGTAGGTATGGTATTCGGAATATTACAGTATATATTACAGTATATATATATATATAATCATAAAACTCAGTTAAGCTGGCGATTGCCATCTCCATGGATGGAGACCCCGAGAGGGGACACATGAATGGTTAGAGACAGCGTCAGACAGGCTCCAAGCTATTGCCTTCGATGCACAGACCCCTCCCAAACTCCCGAATTAAGAGTCTACTGACAACCCTGTAGTCACGCACCAATTGTATCAGCTACCGCCTCTAATGCGCAGCTACTACCCCACCTACCCAAATTATAGTTAACCGAAACTGTAGTGGCTAGAACCACTGAACTGCAGGTACGAGGATCTGACAGCTGATGATGATGATGATGAGTTGCTGAGAACTCCGACAACCACACCGTGAACGACAGATTCAGTTGAGCCATAGAGGTGGGTGGGCCAGCATTCACCAACTAGGGGGAAAATGTTGTCAGACACTTAGACACGATGAAGTGTCCAGTAATTTCGAACTTATTAAAAAACTACTCACAAGGTTGCTGAAAACTCTTCGACGGCCCACGACCGGTTTCGCTTTTCTTGGGGATCATCAGGTAGGGACAGTCCCCGAGTCTCCGTCAACCTTATGTTCTACTTGAACCCAAATTAGACCGTTTTGAGAAATACACTGCGCCTAACTGACAAGTCCCAAGAAGGGCGAAACCAGTCGTGGGCTGTCGTGGATGTATAATTCGCTATCCAACCATACCGAATGCTTTATTTCGGTGGACTAAATTCAGGTGTAAAAGAGATCGCAGGAAAATTGCTGATGCTGGGTCACGAGAAATCGTCGTGTAACGTCATGCACAAATGCAAAGTGACGCGACTGAACTGAGAGAAAAGTGTAGCTAGCCCGCTGTATTGAGAACAAGGTACCCTCTGAGAAGCCAGCGCAACAAAATAGATTCAACGATGAACAACCAGATCACGAGGACCAAAAACGGATTATATGAGACTATCGTGGAAACTATTAACCCACCTTATATCGTAAACGATGTGATAAATGTAGTCGTAATCTCGGATCAGCGTCTGAACTATCGGATGCGCCAAATCGATTGATTGGGACAATATCCGGTATGGACGGTTTCCCATCAGTAGGGTTTTGTGCATCGTGTGGTGACACATCATTATTACTCTGATCCAACACATCTGTCAAATCCGGAGAAAAAGTATAAGCTTTGAGTTCCGGACGCCTCGGCTTTCCGGTTAACCGAGAACGAGGATGTAACCAAGCGGGAGCACCATTTCGCCCGGCCGGAACGGATCGACAGGTGCATTTGGCACCACAATGTCCATTGGTTATCCGGCCGTGGAACCGACAAGAAGCTACACGCTTAGGCATGGTTGGAGTTCCCTTACGCTCCTCTTCTGCACCAGCTTTGCCTAAAAACGACAAATCTGGTAAGGTATGTGATAAGAATGCCGCTCCAGTGAGACGGGACGGTCGTGGAATGGAGAGCAAACCAAGCCCGGGATAGGCAATAGAAGCGCGCGGATTCCCAAGCCAGCCAGCTGAATAACCATCAGCCATATAATCGGCGCGAAGAGCAGCCATGTAGGGAGAATCCGGACCGACAGAAGCCGTCAGACATGCGGCTAATTCTGGTGAATGATTTGAAGATTTGTCATCAACAGGTGGTGTCTTATGCGGTATGGCAGTTCGACTTGGATCGAATGATTGAGGCCGAGATGAGTGACGCGGATGACTGTGCCTTATAAAAGCATAGTGTGACGGCTTTATACCACCCATATTGCAGCGAGTAGGTAGACTAGGTGACCAGACGGGAGAAGAACAACGTAAAGGATTGGGCGCAACTGTTGTAACGGCTTGTGTATATGCATCCAATGATGGAAACTGGGCCCCAAAATGCCGTGTAAAGCGATTATTGGATTGCTCACCGGAAGATGAAGTGGTTGAAAGGTCGGGAGGTTGAAACCGTTGTGGAAGTATGCGGTCCCCACGAAGAAGCGGATGTCTATCAGTCTCAGACAGAAGTTTCGTAGGCTCCGTTCCTGACCCAACTGACCGCCTGTGACCTATGCGAACAGCGGTTGCAGGCATTTGGCTAGATGAGCCGGTAGGACGCGGGTCCGCAGCAGATGATCTCATCCTGGTAGCTGAATCCAAATTATCACCCAGATCACTGGATGCATTGTAGACACAGCGAACGGCACCCTCATCAGCTTTAGCCCTCATGAAAATCTCTAGTAATGTCCCAGAGAAACGATACATATAATGGTTTGCAGATACTGGTTGTGATCGAGATCGACATGTAGGCCTGGAATACGCGTTTTCAAGCAGCTGAGTATCCGAGGTAACACAGAGGTCGGTGCCCCCGGTATTTACTTGTTCTGAAACCACATCACAAGCACGTCGACCGTGTTGCTCTCTCCGACTTTCTCGCGTGTGCGGGCCTCGTTCCAACGGCTGCCCTGTCTTCAGGGTACGCTTCAACTGATTCCATGTGATCAAAGTTCCATGCGCTTGTTTCATCATCCTCCAAGGATTGACATTTTCCGGTTGATCAGAAGTTTCCAACTTGTTTGAGGTGTCAGAAACAGCGGGAACCTGGGGAGTGGTGGTTGGCTCCTTAGTAGTTAGGAATTTTCGTTTCAAGCTTTCACGACTTCCATGTCTCTTAGCCCATGTCGTTGTGTTAGGTGCACCCACCTCTGCAGAGTCCGAAATGCTGGGTGAATCAACTGATTCACCACGTGCCGTGACACCCACTGACTTAGCTTCGACTGAACGTTCGTCCGCCCTGGGGAGGCACTGTGCAGCCTGATCAAGCGCGTAACGAAGACCAGCCAAACTCGCTGCAGTTAACAAATCACCTTGGCTCAAAGAGCGAGCCAGCCCACGAGAACAATTATTCGGCCGCTCATCAAATCTCTCGCGGATTAGTTGTTGAAGCAGAGAGCCTGTTGAGGAGTCTATGGGTAGCGATTCCCCATAGGCTAGTTTATAGTCCACAGCCATAGCAGCACGGCTTAACAAGGCTTTCAAGTCGGGGTTACACGATCGTTCCATAACCATCTGCATCCAACTGGTCGAACCAGACTGTCCCGAAAATTGAGATGCATTGGGGGAAGGTTGAGAGACGCCATTGGATTGGAAGTCTCGTTTGTGATGACCGGAACCACTTTCAGTGCCTACCCTGTTCAGTTCCGACTGCATCACGCCATTAGTTGATTCATATATAGCGCCGTTTTGTGATGGAGTCACTGAGGTGTTTTGCATAGCTCCCATCAACTGAGGATGGCGATGAGGAGGTTCAGATAGGTATGGTGGTACGAGCTGTTCCGGGTGAGCACTGATCAGACCACTTTCGCCAGAATCGCCAGGAGTACAAATGCAAGAGTCAGAACGAGACTGTTCTAATTGGAGATTAGTTCGGGCTGGTGGAACTGTGGGGCCTAAAGAAACTGTCATTCCATTCATGTTCAATTCATTCTGTACCAAATCATCCTGCAGATTGGTGTCAAAAGGAACAGAAAACTCGTCGTCAAAAAAGTAGTCGCCTTGCTCCAGCCAAACCGAAGAAACCATCGGAGCGTTGGAACCGACGGAGTTAGGATCAGAACTATCAAACTGATTGACGTTGTTGTGCTGCAACATATCAATGTGGTGATCTGTGAGATCGTTCGAATTCATTAGGACGGACGGCTTCGTGTGGCTACTCAGATCATTTCGAGGGTACGTGTCTTCGCGAGCAGGGAAGCAGTAAGTAGCGTAGGCACTGAGTGGATCGTACATCAGTTTGAGCTGCAGAACTCACACGTGTTTCTCCTGCAGTAACTTCTTCCTCTAACCCATAAGATAGCTGTAGAAAATTTTTAAAAAGTGAGAATTAGCGACGAGCTTTAAAGAGTGAATTATGTTGCCAATATGTTAATGCGTATAAGCCAAACAGCGCGAAAAAAAATAAAGTTAAACAATGAAGTATTCAAGTTGTTTAGTATATAGAAAACTATACAACACTACACCGATCAACAGAAGTGTAGGTCATTGATGACAATCACATTGGTGTTGAGCGCCACTGCCTTGGCACCATAAAACTGCCTTTGTAAACAAAACTCCTGCACAAGCGTTGGCCGTACTTTCACACTTCAGATTCAGCGTACCTTCCGGAATCCGATAACAATAGCACAATATTGTCCTCCAAAAGAACCATCAAGAGAATGGACCATCCTTCGGACGAATCTGCTTCTTGAGACACTTCTGAATTTTCGGATTTTCTGAGAGAAGGCTACTTTCGGTCGACCATTCTAGGTGTTCCCTTCACTGGGGTGTAGCCACACATCACAGAACTCCACGAACTCATATCGGAACGCTCAGCTGTAACACCCTTTCGGTGCCTAACTGCCATGCTACCCGAAGGAAGCACGAGGGCTGGGATACTGCCGAGCTGCCAAAGCCTAGACAGGGGAAGTGGTGGAGTGGAGGTCGGGTTCGAACCACGGACCTTCTGGTCAGTAAATTCGCGCTCTCGCCATTTATGCCATCTCGACTGTCATACATTTTGTTTTTTATGCTCCCTTGTGGTAAACGCCCCAGTACTCAAAGTAAGCCAGTTCCCCACTCCAACTCTACACTCCAACTTCCCCCCAACTTATTCAAGGAGAGCCCCAGTGAGTGGCAAAAGATAATAATGAAGATACACTAACTCCGACTCGAAATCTGGAATGTTAGAACTCAAAAGACGTACAGCCCTCGCGAGCAAGGTGGAACACCACGGTATCGAAATGGTTGCTCTCAGCGTAACTGATTCAACCGGTCAAGGAAGGCTACGGGAAGCTGAATACACCGATTTGGCTTCACAGTATAGTCAACGGGAACACGAACTCGGGCCTGCAGTGATAAACCATATTGATGGACAAATAAAGCGATAAAAAACATTCAGCATCATTGACTATCAGGCTCCGACTGTCAAGAGGACTTCTCAGTGAGTATGCTCTCAAAATGTCTCCAGCGAAAGTTCAGCAGGAAGAATTCTACGCACAATTATCAACTGTCAGAAAATCACCTATTCCCTATTCGTGTCTCAAAATCCGAATGGTCGTGACGAGCCGAAAAAGGGATACACGGAGTTGAAGCCATGGACGTAAACGGACGGTACCTACTAGAGATATTAACAGCACTAATACATTGTTCAATGCTGAAAAATCAACCAACGTGGATGGGTGCATTCAAGTAGACGTGAACATCATTTGCACCATATCATTGTCCGACAAAATGATCCCAACGAAGTTCTCATAGCAAAGGTGATGCGCCGTGCCGATGGCACCACGTATTTGCATTGGTGCGACTGCAAGTGTGACTGGCTCTGAAGAAGCTTCCTTGTCGTGGGACGAAGTTACCGTCCACCAGGCTCAACATCAAATAGTTGTTAGATGAGTCAACATTACACCATCATCATCATCATCATCATCATCATCATCATTATCATTATCATCATTAACAACATGACATCAGTGTCCAACACCGATGCTTCGCTGCCGTACAACCATGATTTATTTGAAAGCTTCGTTATAAAAAAAAGAATAAAGGTGGATGGGGAAGGGACTTAGTGCTAGCTCAATACAATCATTCCGAGGTGCCTACACCTCCAGACACTTTCAGGCAATCTGGACAGAAACTGACGAAAAGATGGCCATTGACATCGGTTGGCATCCATATCTTGCAGTGTCTCCAACCAGGCACAACGGGTATCATACGATCCCTATCTTGGAAGGCGAGCAGCACCGACAGCACCCAAATATTTCGTGATTTCTTTCATACCCCTCTGCCAGTTCAAGGGTTGTCCACTTCTCTGCTTCCGCCACTCTGTAATGGGCATGGAAAACAGCATCAGATCAGCTCTTTTTGCACTGCGGGAAAAGTGATGCTGCGTACTTACTCAACCGCCTGAACTCCGATATTCCGTAGGAAAATACATCTGCGAGATTCGGGAACGGACACAAGAGAGAAGACCTTATCTTTGTGACAGTTGTCAAGAGCAGAGCAAGCAGCATATACAGTGCAATACAACTCACGCTGCCATATGATAATAGAGAAGATAATCGTTCATCTGTAACACCCTTTCGGTGCCTAGCTGCCATGCCACCCAAGGGAACAACGAGGGCTGGGATACTGATTGCCAAGCTTAGACCTTCCGGTCAATAAATTGGAGATCTAACCACTACTACATGAGTCAGAGATGAGACTTCTATGTGCGGCAGACATCCAAAGGTTTGGTGAGACAGTCAGTCAGATTTGAACCATGTACCGAAAGAATGTGGGTTCCAGATGCTACAGTTTCGGTCGCCGGAAAACGGAAGAGTTGGGGGGATAAAACCAAAGCGAAATCAACATCAGTTAGTTCATAGAAACAGATAGCGATGACCTGGAGGCAATAGCTTTGATGCACGAGCGCCCTGGCTGCCTGACTGGGCCATTTCTGACTATTAGTTAGTTGAGTCCCAGTCCCATTCGACCCGACTAAGTTTTCTGCTTTTTTTCCATATTTCTTCGTCAGATTATAAATTATTCACCTCTTGGGCGTTTCCACTTAGCGCATGGCTTGGGGGAAAGAGCTCTGCGAGGCCGACGGTCCTCTGACACATGTTCTAACAAGTGTAACCTACGAAGCGTGAATAATTCTCCATTGTGAGCTCCTTTTTCCGAAAGTCACCTGATGTGCCTCGGCATTGCTAATCCAATATTCTTACCAGATTTGGTCCATGCTTCGGAGACCCCAATGGTCAAACACTGACTCTATACGTACTCAGAGCGTAGACGCCACGTTTCCAATCCGTGAAACGGCATGGATCGCACTGCCGCAAGGTATACTCCGCCTGACGTAGGTGGTGATTCAGATGGATGGAACTCATTCTATCGCTATTGATAGTCTAAATACTTCAGTGGGGAATTCTAAGGAAGACAAATGTGAATTGGTAACGGTCGGCTAGGAAGAACCCATGGAAGAAAAGAGCACTGCGGCTCAGTTGGCCACAATATGAAGAAATTGAAATCTTAGTGAAACACTAAATAAGAGCCAATTGTTCGTTAGAGCCTGACCGTCCCAACATCATCAGACAACAACATCAGTGGTGACACTGATACTTCACCGCCGTACAACCATAAGGTTCGTCTAATTATATTTAAAGCCCTAGAGTGAAAAGGAGAGAAAACGAGTGAATGAGGGAGGGAAGCTAGTGCTGGCCGATGTCGAGCAATTCTGAAGTGCCTACACCTCCAAGCGCACAATCTGACAATCTGGAAAGAAACTGACAGCACGAACGCCACTGACATCGATCAGCCGCCATTTCGTGCAACGTCTACAACCAAGCACAGGTGGGGTCACGGGGACCCCATCCTGGAAGGCGTACAACACCAACAACACCCAGTCTTCATGATCTCTTTCACACCCTTCTGTCAAGTCATGTGCTGTCCACCTTGCGGTTTGCTCCACTACGAAGGGGGAACGGAGAACAACACTCGTCCCGGAAGAAGCTGTTTTGGCATGCGCACCACATGACCCAGCCATCGTAGTAGGTAGTGTTGGATGTTTTTCCAGAGTGAAGTACCTGCGCCCAATCAAATACCCGCTTTCTAATCATCTCGTTGCTGATTCGTTGATGTCATCCAAAACCAGAAACTTTCTGAGCCGTCGGTGGTCAAAAACCTGAAGACACCTCAGATCATCTGTCCACAGAAGCCATGTCTCACCACTATACAACAACACAGCCCTTACTGTAGCCTGACACACGCGACCCTTAAGATCTAGTGATCTGTCTTTTTGACGCCACAGGTAAGATCTAGTGATGTGTCTTTTTGACGCCGCAGGTGAGTCTTTGAGATTCTTGCACTGACCTCATCAGACATATTTTCGTCAGAGCTAATACAATTACCACAATCTCCAATGATTCTCCTTGAATTGTTCAATGACTGCACGTTCTGAAGCATGACTTTGCACATTGAAGGTGCAAGGCGCATGCCAAAAGATAGTATGATGGTCAGTCTATTCAACAAGGTTTGTGCTTCACTTTGGTCTTCAAAGATGAGAGCGGTGTCACCTGCGTACTACAGATCGACAAGGCTCTCACCAGCAACAATTTGAACGCCGGCGTTTTGAAGACCTTTCAACGTTCGCCTCATTATATCATCAACGATGAAGCTGAACAAGAATGGAGTGGACATCCTTGTCGGACACCACTTTTGGTAAGGATGCTTTTGGAGAGCTCAGCATACAGTCTCACAGAAGTATACCAATATAGGGATCGGATTATGTTCACAGACTTTTGGGGCATACCCTGTTGAGCAAGTGTAGTTAACAGCAATGGCCGATCGACAGAATCGAACGCACCCTCGAAGTTAAGGAATACCGAGATTGTGGGCCGTCTGTGCATATGACATTGCTCTAACACCTGACGGAGTGTGGAGATGTGGTCAACGCAGCCTATATCTGGCTGATTCTCACGAGTCAAGGTTTCGCGTGCCACTGTAAGACGGCAAAGAATCGGTGACTTCAAAAGCCTTGTCACAACAGGAGTTAAAATGACATTTACTGCGGGTACCCAGATGTGTGGGACTGTCTGTTTCTCCAAAATAGACCCAAACAGGCTGCAAAAACACTGGCTGAGAAGTCCACCGCCATCCTTGACAAGAACAGATGGAAGGTCGTCAGAGCCAGCAGCACAATGAGGCTTGAGTAGAGAAAAACACTCAGACGCTTCTGTGACTGAAGGCTGCTCCTTGACAGACAAAAGTGAAAGTTGTCCTGGCCTTCCAGATTTGGAAAAAAATAGTTCGGCTGTAACACCCTTTCGGTGCCTAGCTGCGAGGCCACCAGAAGGAAGCACGGGGGCTGAGATACTGCCAGGTTGCCCAAGCCTAGACAGGGGAAGTCCAGAGGCAGCCAATTCGCGCTAAACCACGTGAGCCATCTCGCCCCAAAGAGATTTGGGAACTGATCTCGTCTCCCGCCAGTCTACTGCCTAAGATAACAAATATAACTACCACGTCAATTGGCTCGTCTGCAACCACGAAATTTCGGTTGAATACCATCCACTTTTGTAGCAGTACGTAGAACTTTGCAAATTTGAAGCGAATAATTGTTACTTGAAGGTGCGTTTTCGAACAAAAGAGTGATAGCTACTGCATGCTCAAAGTCTGTGATCGAACGTTCCAGGAGCATTTTGATCCCCGGTGTTTTAGATGCAGGCGGAGGAATTTCAAAAAGCACATCAATAAAATAGTTGAAGAAGAATGGTGAGAAAGGGGATAGATGGCTGCGATTATGGCGCGAATTTACTGACAAAGTCCCATGGTTGGGACCCGACCTCTGCCTCTCGACTTCCCCTGTCTATGCTTGAGGAATAGTATCCCAGCCCTCGTGCCTCCTTCTGGTGGCATGGCACTGAAAAGGTGCTACAGCCGAACGCTTTTCCACTAGACGTGGTGAAACGGGGAAATTCTCCGATGCATTGGTACGCGCCCACAGGAGTTCGCATACACACCATAAGGAATATAAATTTGGAAGGGATACCCTCAACTGCCAGTCACCGCCAGTTTTTGATGATCGGTGGATACAACAGCGAACTGTAGATCAAGGCTACCAACATGAGACGTCTGAAACAATGGTGCTGCTGAAGAACTTGACCGAAGGCAAAGATATAGTTCACTCATCCTCCGCCAGAGCGAAACCTAGCTTGATTCTCGTGAACCTTTCTCTCTCTCAATCGATAACGGACCAATCTGCACAATATACGCCAAAGAGCACCTTGAATTGTACAAGTCTGCTGCCACGATGGTTTTCTCTCACCGCCCTGGTATCCCTTTTCACTAGTATTGCGCCTCCGTCCAATATATGCCACATTGTGGTCGTCAGAATGTTCATCAAGGCCTCACCAACTTGTTTGAAAAGCGCAGGGTGCAGACCATCCCCTGGTTGTTTCGTTGAAGGAATACCTCATGCTGGATTTCCACTGATGACGGAGGGCTATTGCCGAAGTTCCATTTTCGCTCGTCGGTTTTTTCTATAGGTTGCGCTGGGTCAGGCAAGTGAACTGATCCTTGACGTGTCCAACCCATCGCTCAAGACAACGATTTTGCGGATGAATTCCGTCCCGTCTTCCCCAGATTTTTTTCTGACACCCATCTTCTTCTAGTCGGTTTATCCCTTCACCCGAAATAGGCCACGGCTGTAGTGAAAGTTTTCTCCATCACCTGGGCCATCGCAACCTATCAGCGTTATGTCACTCTTCAAGCTCTCGATCATCCGGTATTTGGAGGATCTGAGTGCGCCATCACAGTGGCCAGTTGCTGATGTGGTCTTTCTGACAGCAATAATACCTGTTAATCTCTATGATGTCCATTGTTCAATTAGTTGAGTCGGGTGACATGGACAAACATATCTGACGGTTGGTGGCACAGCTTCTTTAAGATTCCTCAATTTCTGGTACTTGAACACTTATTTATCCTGCTCAATATCATCTCTTCTCTCCCTGTCAACACTGATCACATCATTGTACAAAGTATGATTCAATGAAATGCACACACAAGCCCCAGGTTCTTGGGCTTGACGCGATTTGTGCCCTTTGTTGAGTGACTTTTGTTGTGACTGGAGGTTAAAAAATTATGGTTATCACCAATGTCCAACGTGAACAAACATTTTAGCTCCAAATATTGGACCTATCAATCCACATCAATGGATAAATATTGAATCTCCGGGAGATTGAAATGACAGGAAAATATAACATTCTCTTCGTAGTGGAGCGAGATGTCTGAAGTGGCTAGAGTGCTAACTTACTGACCGGAAGGTTCGTGGTTCGATCCTGACCTCTACCTATCGACTTCCCCTGTCTAGGTTTGGGCAACCCGATATTATCTCAGTTCTCGTGCTTCTTTCGGGTAGCATGGCAGCCAGGCACCAGAAGGGTGCTACAGCTGAATGATATGTATTATCTCTCCGCAATGCGGTGCTGCTCAAAAGGTACCTTCTGCGCGTAGCCATAGTAGGAGTGAGACAGTGATGTCTTACTCCCGGCGTCCTCGGGCTACGCCTGTCCCCTGCCAAGCGGACTATTGAGTCAGTGGTTGATGGAAAGTTCCTCCAATAAATCCCAGCACCTGCTGTCTCGCTTTACAGGCATTTGAGTCGGAGGCTATAGGAAAGGTTCCTGAACTCAACCCTACAACCTCCGATTGTCTTGTGGATTAAAATATTAAGTCAAAGGCACAAGCTGCGGTATCTCGACCAAACCCCCTTCTTCTTCAGTAGTGTGCTGAACACCGCTAGTTCCAGGACAGCACGAACTTCCGGCGCAAACGCTCACCTCAGGTTACTTGGATGCTACCAACCGCAAGCCAGACGTGAATAATGTGGCTATCGATTACCGATTAAGGGCCTCAATTAAATATTTCTGTCCATTTGGGCTGCATAACTTCATCCCGATTATGTCACTGTACGCATCAAGTTATCAATGTTTTTCGTTGGGGCTTTCTTGGAGGAACTTTCCGGCAGCCAATGACTCAATAGTCTGGCCCGCTTGGCAGGGGACTGGCGTGGCTCGAGGAAGCAGGGAGCAACAAGTGTCACTCATAATGTGGCTGCGAACAGAAGGGTGATCAGTGTGCATTTTTTAATACCGATCGTTTCCAACCTCGGGGGAAGGAAGCATGCTGCTTCTATGAATACAGAGATACTGGTTACCAGAGGATAGTACGACTGTACCTTCGGACCGCTCGCAGTATGGGGACTCGCCGTTCTTCGTCGTACTGCTTGTCGTTAGCATTAGTGGTATGGTTGGGGAACTGGGTTCCAGGTTATCCCGCTGGGTCATTGCAGTACTGAATCCTGATCATAACGGCAAGGTGACAACTTGAAGTCGGACTGCAATTTCAGTAAGAGCCTATCTTCGTCGCTACAAGAGCACAAACCAGAGCGTCAATCACACACTCAATAAGACACAACAGAAAAGGTTCTAAGAAGTTACCTACGCCAGTGTCCGACGAGTTGCCTGACTTGAATGGTATACCGCCGACCTTATTGTGAGAATGCATTGGCGTACTGTCCAGGCCGCCTACTCACTTTTGTGCCGCTCCAATACCGGGCGACAAGAGGTCATAAAGACCATCTACAGGATGGCGACAGGATCGATCCGTGGAACCACCGTCCGATAACACTGTTTCCGCTGCCCTTAGAGCCTAGGCAGTGTTGCAGGTGATTTTCTTCGCTGCCAGTGAGAGATACGGTCATATATATACGTTAAAATACTCTGTGCCTGACAGTTGATGTTTCAGGCTTACTTTCCCAGTCTGGTGGGGACACTGGATCAGTGATACTGAAGTGCATCGAATGGTTTCGGAAGAAATAACTCGCCACTACGGATGAACTGATCACACTCCATAGGTGTCCCTGGCCTGGTAATGAGCTCCGTATACCAGTCAACGAGATGGCCCAAGTGGTTAGAGCGAGAAATTTACTGACCGGAAGGCCCGTGGTTCGAATCCGACCTCCGCCACTCGAATTCCCCTGTCTAGGCTTGGGCAACCTGGCACTATCCCAGCCCTCGCGCTTCCTTTGGGTGGCATGGCGGCTAGGCACCGGAAGGGTGCTACTGCTGAACGCCTACACCAACGAATCTCCCGAACAGCCCTTTTCGTACAACCACACGAATGTTGGAAACGAGCCAGGGGAGTTCAAACGATGACTTTTCAGCGAAGTATGAAAGCCAGTACCAGCAAACCTAGCTGCGCTACCCCCTGCCTTCTACTCAGATGGTGACCGTGAGACGGAACAAACCAACGGTTAGAGACATTGTCAGACATGGCCCAGTTGTGCCCTCAGTGGCGTTCGCCAATCCAAGCTGTTGCCTTCGTTTTACCTACTCGATCTCCCACCAACAGCCCTTTATTGGCGCACCGAATATATTAGCTGCCGCCTCCAATACGTACCTATTTAGCCTACCTCCCCGGATCATCGGTAAAGGTAACGGCAGCAGGAGACTTCGCGAACAGTCAAGCGACTTTGTGGTCAGCAAATCTCAGTGCCCTCTAGATCCGCTCCCTCATTCGCCGAACCGTTGCATCCACAACCGTAACTTGACCATCAGAACGGCCAACAGACATCAGTGCTTGGCCTGGAGGTAAGGCACTGCCCATCCTCGCTTGGTGGTGTTTTTTTCATCCCCGGTAGTGTCGGAGGTTCCGTTCAGTAGCTTTTTGACCACAAAGTGCTAAAGAACAATCATTCTACATGTTATGGATAATGAGGAAAATAAGGAAAAGACAGCCAGGTGTTGAAATAGACGGCCCAACCAGTCAAATTTAAACTGATCCGGTCGTCCGATATGACAGAGTGAGAGAACTGCACACCGGAGAAAACAGCTTTGATACAGTCACTGTGGTTGGCGCGAAATAGTCAGGATCATTCACCATTCGCTTTCCTTGCACTAGATACCCCATATGTAGAGACACCAGTTGCCTTCTTTGGAGAGCAGAATGCCAACCGTCTGGAACAGGCGCCTTTATACATCGCACCAATATACATCAACGCCGGACCCGCGGAGTCGACACAGAACCATTATTCATTCCTTTTGGGGACTGAGTTCCTGGAGGCTAGTAGAACCGTGCATCCGTGTTTAGCCCACCGTTTACGAATACCAGTGAGTCACAAACACGCGCCCTCCTCGGACCAGCTGGTCGAATAAGCTATACAACCCCCTATCCATTCGGCTTCACTATCCTATGATCCATATGTCCCTCGCTGTTCCTGCTCAGTGGTTCAGAGCGCGAATTTACTGACCGGAAGGTCCGTGGTTAGAACCCGACCTCTGCGCCTCGACTTCTCCTGACTAAGCTTGAGCAACCTAGTAGTATGCCAGCTCCTGTGCTTCCTTTGGGTGGCTGGTAGCTAGGCGCCAAAATCGTACTACAGTTAAACGATATTTTGTACTTTTGTTCCGTTTCTGAGATCACTGTGGGCTCCATCACATTCGCTGGCATAAATGAAGTGTGCCAGTCGTGACGTCAGCTGGTATTCACTGACGTATTTTGAAAACTCCTGGCCAACTTAACTCGATATTGCTGGGCCGCAGAGACTTCGTCGGTGGCGAACAGATTTTGGGTTACCCGGCATATTTTCAATGGAAGGCGACTTTATGTATATTCCCGCACAACATTAGTATCAAAGTCAAAACAGCCGCCCTTACAAGCCCTGTTTGCATGAAATATTTTTCAAGGACTCATAATTGCCAGCAATATTCACCCTGTAGTGTATATTCGACTTCAGCTTCTCGATCTACCGAACGCCGCAATAAATAACTTATCCCCCGAACACGGTTTTCTGCGCACATCGTCCTTCGGGGAATCAATCACCACGACGTGGACGAAATTAGGTTTGCGTTTCCTATACGGTTACGGGTGCACCAGGACCTACAGCTTGTCTACGGTACTTTCGTGTACATACTCCTTTGTTACAATGTGCTGTACCAGTTTTTGTCGGATCCTCAGCAATCCTCCCAGAATGTTTCCTCACTGGCAGTTACCACCTTACCTGAATTTCCGGGTAACCTAAAGTAAACACCCACCGGAGTTAGCGGCGAACACAATGGAGGAATGGAGGTGACATTCAGCAATTATCCCTCTGATTGGTTGAGGCTCGTTATCGGGTTTTGCAGGGGTTGGGCTTGTTTTCAGATTGGCCCTTTTCGAGGCCTTCCGGTAAATGCATGGTGGTATCGACAGGTTTCAAAGGTTGTGTAATGCGATTAGTTGCGACGGCTGGAACACTGATGCTCGTCCCCACCTTTGGACTGCCGTCGCACCCAGAGCGTTTTCGCCTGTTTCACCAAACTCCAGGTGGCCCAGTGAGGCGGAACCCTCTTTGGTGATCTATAAGCCCTGGAATAAAATTTATTGGAATCAAAGAATACGCAAGGGTGTTGGTCGGTAACAATTGCCTAGAGAGACCAGGAGAGTCGAGTCTGCGCCAACGGCAGGGCATTCGTGTCATTACCACCCTAGTTTGTTCCGCTAGATCTGTAGGATCCATACTCTCATGCTGCTGGTGTTGCTCACAGAACTGGAAAGGATAAAAATTAAAAGCTGATGTTAGCTAGTGGGATGGAGAAAGAAACTTACCAGCGAGGGAATTTCGAAGTTGTGTCCATGAAATGGGGTTAATCCCCCCTCTAAAATGCATTATACCACACGCAGCAAAAGGTAACCATGAAAATATTAATCCGCGTATGCAAAGATCATGTAAACCAGGCAAAACCTCACGAAGGCAACCGAAGCGTTTGAATCGACAACGAACCAACACAACAAGGGGCCAGGGGATCAATGTGAGCGTGTGGTAATTCCCCCGGTTGCTCGAAAACGCAAGTACTTACCCTCGGATGAGACGGAATCACTCCAGAGGTTTGTGAACGAAATGGTTAAAAGCAGTCCCCCAAGGATTTTACACCCACAAATTCAGAAAGACTGTTCAGAGAGAGAAGTGCCTGGGAAAATGAGGTAGATGATATTTTAGTGCATCCATTATAGCTTATTAAAATGGCTCGTTCCATTTCTTTCGGAAACGACTTTAATCCTGCTGGAGTCTAGAAGCCGTGGTCACTTCCGGTGTGGTGTCCAGGCAAAAACAAGGCTTTCAAATAAATCACGTTTGTGCGGCAGCGAAATATTGGCGTTGAAAACTGGTATCATATGTCGATGATGATGATGTCCTCGCAACATTCGAGCCGGGACAAGGAACAAGGGATCTTATTCTTGTCGACGCTGGTAGACTTTTGGCTACACGCTTTAAGGGATTTTAATCAGTGTCTCTTAAGCACCATCATCTTAGTTAGATGCCATCAAAACTGAAGTCTCAGCTGGGTTATGTTTCATCCAGTACCCCCGGCTCTAACATTAATCCGTACAAACGAGCGCAACAGTAGTAACACCGGAGCGCGAACCACTCTCCTCTAGGAAAGACCACTCTAGTGAGAGTCCTAGCTCTTTCCATTTAGCTCCATGGAACTACCGGCAAGCCCCCTCATTTGTGTTTCCACACCTATCTTTTCGGGAAGGACAAAAAGAAATCGCCAATAAACGTTCTGACTCCTGCCATTCTTTTATCCAAACGCACCTTCGTCGACCGTACAAAACAAGGTTAATAACACAACTGCCGTATATTTTCATAACATTTGCCGTTCAATAACAATGTTTATTCCGAACTGGCCAGTGACATACCTGCAGGCGTGATCATAATGGTGCAGTCAGATGAAACCAAGACTAATAAAGTTTATGGGTACCGGGAACTTCATGGGAAAGAGACAGTGAGATAGACAGTGGGCGTTACCCGAAGTGGACTAGGTCGCACCAGAAGTGGCATGAGTAAGGAACCTAAATTACAAGGGTTCTTCCCTTCTTATGAGGGACGTATAAGATGAGACAGGATATGATCGTTAAGATTTGAAGGTGGCAGGCAAAGGAAATACAAGCGAGCCTATAGCAAAAGGCTTCCCGCCTGATACGTGATAAATAAAACTTCAGACTACAGAAAATGTAGAACCAGAATAACGGATCTGTGGAGGCAACAGAACTACCAAGTTCTGACCGGCCAACACAAAACAAATCCCAAAACCGGCCGCCGACTATGAGAACATCCGGATTATTTTCGCCGAAACAAGAAGGGATTCGAAGTTGTGAATTAACGAGGATCCAGTCTAATAAAATTTTCCCTCCCGATGACACGTTGCTCGTAGCTTCTTATTTAAGTGAGCCATATGTACGTCGATGACTAGATGGCGGGATTAAGCAACCATATGCACCATTGGGCGCGGCGGAGTTAAAGATAAAGAGGGGTATTTACCTATCAGTTTTAAGACCAAGTGGTGTAGACTTGGGCCGTTAGATCCACGGGCCACGTGCGTCCTCAAACGTGCATCCATGGATGCCGCTGTAGACATCAAATGCTGAATCACACTAGCAATCCAACCAACAAGGAGCGCCCTTCTGGGCTTCATCCCACTCACTTTTCATATCCAAGTATTGCAACCCATCTTCACTTCTGGAATCATGTCGACTATGTTCGAATAGGTGAGCTAGTAAGATAGTCAAACCTGATGCAATCCAACGTTCTCAGGTAACTATAATGATCTAGCTCGATACTGCAAGGACACGTTCTTCAGTGGGAACCTCCGGCCCACAACCGGAAAATCGTTCCATAACTGCCACCTTACGGATTTTCCGACACCGACTAACACGAGCTGTTTTTCAGACAACCGTTGTCAAAAAACCTGAAAACGTCTTCGTTCCGCTTTTCAAACAGGCCAGATCTCACGGTCATACAACAGAACAGCCCGTACTGCAGCCCAATACGCACGTTACTTGATATTCACGGCTGTACCGCCCTGGCGACATGGGTGTTCCAGATTAGCGAACGCGACCCGAGCAATGCGGGTTCGTGCATTTAACTCATCGATATCGGTTGACCTCCTCGTAAATATCGATTACCGTTATTGCAATGGGACAAAGTCGCCTCACTGTAGTAGTTTAGAATTGTGACAACTTTTGACTGTCTGTTATTTCGGGAGACATTCTAACTCACATCAGCATACTATCTAGCAAACCTTTCGGGCACTTAAAAATTTTAGGACCCCACTTTATACGTGGCTGTCTTATTACCTCGTATGAATGGCAGCAATGAATAATAACATTTATTCCAACTTATAGCTGGCATACCGTCAGGTATGATCATAATGTTACAGCCAGAGTGAAAGCATGACTGGCGGGGATTGTCGACACAAAGGGTAGGGAAGGGGGACAGCATCATTTGGGGTGGGCATTATCCGAAGTATCCCTAACAACCCGTCACGGGCAGGGAAGCAAAGTTACCGTGCGTTATTGGAGGACCACCACGAACCCTTGATAGACCCAAGAATACCCTAACTGCAATGACAAACATAAACGACTCATCCAAGAGGTTCATGTATGGGGCTGTACACGAACCAAAGTAAGGCGTCGCAATGACGGTCCCGCGACTACTATACCCAGTGTGATGGCTTGCCCGCAGTTCAACATATCTATAATAGTTCCCATACTGGTGTGTTATTGAGAATACCATCAAGTCCGTTCAATTCGTGCAAGAACTCAGAAACAGTGGCAATCTTAATCTGCCATCTTCTTGTTCTGCCCACGAACCCAATGGTTTATCCAGCGGCACCGTCGGTACCATCAAGTCCGTTCAATTCGTGCAAGAACTCAGAAACAGTGGCAATCTTAATCTGCCATCTTCTTGTTCTGCCCACAAACCCAATGGTTTATCCAGCGCGTCGGTCGGTGGATTGGATCAGTGAAAATCGAACCTTGTCTTAAGCCAGATAAGGCGTATGCTGTATCTTACTAGCTGTGCTGAATTCCCTGGCTTCAGCGGGGCGATTGGCACAACCATAGGAGAATTTTTTATATCCGGGTTGCGAATGTCTGTCCTAATTTGTGATTGCGCAGACGTAATGGGCGTGTTTATTGTCTGGGTCGTTTTGAGGTTATCTCTAAGTCTAATGTGTAAGGAAACAAGCGAAGTAAAAAGGTTTTCCATAAAGTTTTCCACCGTCCTCAGAGGCGATCGGCAAAGCCATTGCTGGCAGTTTGCACACTCAGAATATTTTCGCCGAAACTTTTGGGTTTTCGAAGTTGTAACTTTAACGGGCAGTTAGTCCAATCTATTAGCACATTTCTTTCGGCGTGCGTCTAGCCCACGGCCATTTCGGTGATATTTCGTTTATAGTATTTTGTTTAAGCGAGCGAAATTTCAAGGTCGTGGACCACCAACGAGTCGCGTTTCTCACCGGTTTATGGGACCTCACCTATGCACAATAACATAACCCCTTGGTCAACGACAGTCTTTCATACTCATAACTATACGTGATGCCGCTTATCTTTCTTAGCTATAACAAACACCGCGCCATTATACATGCGGGTCGGTAAAAAGGAGGCCTCAACTATGCGTGAAATAACCTAATCTGCTGACCGGTCATACTCATTGCGGCATTCAATGTCACCTTACCTGGCTACTTATCGTACCTGCTAGTTCCGTGTCCATGTGCGGCGTTGATTAACTGGTAACTTAATCCAACCTAATCTGTCGTACTCACAATGTTTTCTTTGTTGCCTATGACAAACACCGGCAAGTATTTATGCAAATCGATGAATACGTGGCCTACACTATGTACGCATAGCTAATCTAATGGTGAGCGACGGACCTCGTACTCAAAACTCTACGCGATATTGCTCGCCTTGACTACTTTTTGAAACTGCTAGGCTAAGGCTTATATGCGACGCTAATTATTAGGCCTCAACTATGCACAGTTTCCTAATTTGGCCGCCAAAGGTTGCCCGTCATACCCATAACCGTGCGTAATTTCGCTTATGTCTGCTATCTATAGTAAATATAGACCACTATCTATGCGGGCCGATAAAAACGAGGCTCCAACTATGTGTCATATCTTAATCCAACGGTCAACGACGGTCTGTCATGTCCGAAAATGTAGTCAATATTGCCTACCTTAGCTACTTTGCGCGATTGCAAGGCTCGTGTCTATGTGCAGCTCTGTGTATAAGGCTTCAACCATGCCCAGTAGTCCAGTCCAATTGCCAACGATGGTCCGTCATACTCGTAACTATACTGAATGTCACCCGTCGAGGCTATTTATAGTAACTACCGGGCTCGTGCGCGTGTTCGTAGCTGACAATAATGTCCATACTATACACAATGAACTAATCCGATGACCAACAGCGGTCCTCCATATCCATACATCGTCTACCTGCTAACACCCCATGCCTGGAAAATACACAGCCATCTTTAAAAAATCATGTTTCTCTTTACTGGTTGTATCGGCACAAACACAATGTGTGGTTAATCCAATTCTCAGTATTTTACTCGACAAGGTTTCTGAAAAAATGTATAATCGATTACGAATCTTGCATATCTTCCGCGTTATCATTTAAAACGAATAATTAAACAAAGTTGCAGTAGCTAACTCACCAGTTGCCTAATAAATCTCTTTGTTCACAATTCCCGGTCGGTGTCCGCGCTGAACCCGGAGACATACTGTTAGAAAGTTAAACTCACTGCTTGCTGAATTAGTCCAATAGGCGATAATGAGGGAGCCGTGTGTACGTCGATGACTAAATGGCGGGATTCTGCAACCATATGCATTATTGGGCGCGGCGGAGTTAAAGCTAAAGAGGGGTATTTACTTATCAGTTTCAAGACCAGGTGGTGTAGACGTGAGCCCTAGGATCTAGTGATTGGAGGAGGCTTGGCGTCCAATCAGCTACTTTAAACCACTTAATCCGAAACTGCGATCTTAAAAAGACTTTGGTCTACCTCTGAGTATTTTCTCGGCCTCTCAAGAATATCCATCCCCTAACGGGATTGCACATCGTAGGCTATTTATCCCAGAAATGATGTCCATCACGGGCTGTCCAGAAACCCAAGTATTTCAGTGCAATGATGCCATGGCACTGTTACACCCGGTTTGATAACATACCCGCAACTTTGCCCTTACTTCGCTTGAGTGTACCCTTCAACTCGATTGTTCCATTACCTGCAGCTACAAACTTAAGCTTTATTCTGACTAATCTTGTGGTCATGCCTGACGGTACGCCATCCACCTGTTGTGAATAATCGTCGTTATGGTAACGTGACACTTTGTGCGTACAAGGTGCACACCAATGGACAGAATGACTTTCGTCAGGTCATCTAAAAACATATTTTCCTCCTCTTCGAAGATGAGAACGCCTGCATACTCCAGATCGACAAGATTTTTGCCAAAAGATATTTGAAAACCGGGTCCAGAAGTTGTTTCAGCGTTCTTCTCATTATCCCGTCGATTACGAATTTAAGTGGGAATGCAAAGAAGGCGCTCTCACCGGACACGTGTATGGAAGCCTTTGGAGCTTCCCTGCTGCGCTTCATGTACACGACGATGCAAATGCTGCATGCTTGACAACTCTTGCTTCAACTGCATGTCCTCTCCCCAACACATACTCCTTTCGCATAATGAGCCCCATAATCCGTCTTTTGTAATTAAGGAAAGAAAAATTGATTCCGGTCCAAGCTTGCCCTGGTCGTGGTATACACTCCAAGCAATCGCCCTATAAAGCGAAATATCCATTGATAAAAAAGGAAAAGATGTTATGAGAGTCCTAAAAAACAGGTGATATGACGCCTCAGAAGCAACCGGTTTCGCAAAGCTCCACGCATTTTCCCAGGCCGTAACAGCTCGGTTCTGTGGTCAGCTCATCCCACGAAGGGGCAACACCAACAAATATCTCTTATTTCATGTCTCTGCAAGTTGCAAGCTACCTTAGTTGTGCACGATCTAGCCAATGCACGTTCCTCGTGCTCACATACGTCCTCGCCAGCTAACATCGACCACATGACCATTTCTACACGTAAATATCGATTTCCGTTGTTGGAATTGGGCAGCGTTGCCTCTACCTAGTAATTGTGACAATTTTTGATTTTGTTATTTCGAGCGGCATTCTAATTCACATCAAAGTGCGTTCTAGCAAACCTTCAGGGCACTTTTCTTTTTTGAGTCCCCAATGTAGACATGGCTGTCTCGTTCATTTAAATAACTTTCGATAAAACTTCGGCTGCTTGGGGAGATCTTGTGCGCCTGAATAATAACCAGTAACTGCAAAATCTTCGTGCTAAAGGTTCCTATATTTCAAAACACGACTATGGATAAATTTGTGGTGTGCAACTAGGACGCGTAGGCAAAGCCACTGGCAGCCAATAAATTGCGAAATCCGCGACTACAGGTATCTCTGGGTTCGTTTACACAAATTTTAATAGAACTGTGGCCGCGTGGAGAGATATTGGGCACCCGAATAATTACCATCAAATAGTAAAATGTACGTCGAAGGTTCCCTTTTTCGACCCACGGTTTCAGAGAAATTTTGTGTGTGCGTCGGAACGTGGCATAAACCGTCACTGTGGCTTCATGGCCTTGGGTCTTGAGCGTATGGCCAGAGCCACAGATAAGCGTAAGTGGAGGCGATGAAACGGGAAAATAAGCAGTACGGTCAAATTGTAGTAGGAAAATCAGAA